CAATAATACAAAAGCGGTTTTATAATTCAGTGTGTAGGAGCCAGTTTGGCTTATACCCCGCTTCTGAACTAATATTTGATTAAAAATCCTCCACCTGGGTACTTGTCCCATTTTTCTCCTGATTGCAATCTCCTGTCGCGTTCATTGAACAATCTGCAGGATGATTCCCCCCAAATCTTTACAGGGAGTTGCTGGCAGCTGTGTCTTCCAGTTGAGCTCATCAAGGCCAATACGAAGAAGTTTAAAGAGGACCAGGTTCCCTGAGGTAGATGCCAGATTGTTTTACTCACGTTAGGAATGTTCAGATGCTCTATTTGTTGTGTTCAAATCTCCTGGAATATCTGACACACTTCTTTGCTGCCTTTAAACCAAAGAAAATAACACTTTTCTTGTTGATATTCTATTTCTGTCCCCTGATGGTCTGGTTCCCAGTTCCCTGCATCTTTGTGGAGAACTTTCCTTAGCATTGCCTCCATCCATGAAACCCCTCAGTGCTCCCCTGCCTGCCCTCCTGGAACCACTGACTCAGATGCACCACCCCAACCTGGAAATAAGACAACTACACCAATACCTGCAAACCCAGCGACTGTTGACGTACTCACCTCCTCCTGAAAGGACATCTTCTCCATCGCCTGTTAGAAACCCTTTTTAAAATTGATCAAATTTAAACCCAAATCGCCAAAAACCTTAAATCTCCGTCGTGTGCCGCCCTGGACTGCAGCAGTTACAGTGGAAGAATCATCTCAGTACACATTTATCTTTAAACTTTCTCTCAGTGTCCATCATTGTCTGCACTGCTTAACAAACATGACAGAGAAACATTTACCTTGGCCTGTCTGCAGAACGGATTGATGGCTTGCTCTTACATCTTCCAGCTGCCGTTTTCCTGTTTACCAAATCAGAGGCGTGACAGAGGGCCGATGTCTGCACATAAGGACGCTGAGAAGGAACCTTAATTCTCCCTTGCATTGTTTTGTGAAACAGCCTGGTGAGACGCTCGAGCCATTTGGACAGTTCATTGATCTTTTTCCTCTACCTACTGCTGTCCAGTGACAAGCTGCTGCATGGTCATCACACAAGTCTTTTTACTGGTACACATGATCTGCTTCTGATCAATTATATTTACTAAAATATCAGACTGGAGTTTTAACAAGCTGTCACTGTGAGATAATTGGAAATAATGGAAACGGACAAAAGCATCTAGCTTCATTAATAATTGCTATTGTCACGCTGTGCAGTGTGCCTTAAAATATAAACTGAACTGAGCATAGAAAGGAGTTCAGCTTATTAACACACAGTCCACACAGCATGAACCAAGCATGGACATGAAGTCTGCATGATCCATGCCCACATGTACATCCGTGCACAGCTTCAAACTCTGGAGAGTATAAGAGGGTGAGACAGTAGTCGGCTTCAGGAAAGAGCAGAAAGGGCAGCAGCACAATAACAAGGCATGACTTCTAAAGTAAACCAGGTCGTTGGTCGTACTGGGAAATACATGGTGCTTATTATAGGTAGAGTATGAGTAAGACTGCTCTGATGGTACACTTGTGATGGTTGAGCTAACTGACACCAATCTGTTTGCTTGTTGTTTCTTATTCGAGAAATGAACATGAGAGGAGTTAAAAAACAGCATGAAATTTGGGTAGACATTGTTAGGAAGCTCAGACATCTTCCGTCCCCCCCCTCCCTCACTGTACTGGACTCCCAGAGGATATTCACACAGCAAAACTGAAAACTGTTGTAGATTGTTAGGAATCGATGCAGATCACATTAGAGTAGTTTTTAAATTATTTTCAGCTGAGCTGCATATAAAGCATGGTGAGAAGGAAAGGAGGAGGGGGCCGAAATTAGCTGCTATGGAGAATGTGAAACTGAATCAGTGAGGAAGATGCCACAGGGAGAAGGGACACTTACACAGTGCATTTTCATCCAGCCCTCCACCAAAAAAAAAAAAAAAAAATCACTGGGCATTTTAAATAAAAATGGCACCTAAAGGACATACTGCACGTTCACCATTCCTTTAAAAGTAATGCAACTAAAATATGTCCATGTTTGCTTTAGTCTGTGTGCTCTGGAGAACAAACTCCGCAGCTGGATTGGATGTGAAACCAAGGACGACACCTAAGAAGCTGAAATGGTAGCAACTTCTGCAGGCTTTGTAATGCTGTGGGTCTCATTGTCTCCTAAAGTCTTTAAAATTGCTTTGGAGTGAATGATAAATATATTATCTTCCTTATCAGAAATAAGATATTTTAAGTCAAAATCCTGAAGGGCTACACCTGAATTCCAAATATCTACTAAAAACCACTTATCTAACTCTCTAGATTGGTTTGACATGAAGCAATTATGGTCAAGATAAAGACCAAGCTTTACTATGCACAGGGGAGGATGTGTGATGCTGTGGGCCTAGGAACTTTGTTAGATCTCATGCCTTAATTTTGCTTCGAATTGCAGTTGGTAGCAGATGACTTTGGGTTTTTATGGGTTTTCCCCCAAAAGATAATGGTATAAAATCTACAAAATCAACTGAACACAAGATGGTTCAGGTAACAAAAAGGAGGTTCCATCACCATCTTAGTCCTAAAACATAATTCCTGAATCTATCTACTAAAAACCACTTATCTAACTCTCTAGATTGGTTTTACATGAAGCAATTATGGTCAAGATAAAGACCAAGCTTGACTATGCACAGGGGAGGATGTGTGATGCTGTGGGCCCAGGAACTTTGTTTTTTAATAGATAATGGTACAAAATCTACCAAATCAACTGAACACAAAATGGTTCAGGTAACATGAAGGAGGTTCCATCACCATCTTAGTCCTAAAACATAATTCTTGAACCAGTAGAGGTTCCACCAGGCTTGGCCCATTAGCAAAAGAAAAAAAAACATTGTTGCTCTCTTAAACAATTATTTAATATTAGCTGTAGAGTATTTTAAGGACATTTGATCAGCATCAGATAGTTGTTTTTTTTGGTAAGCTTTAACAATATAAACAGTCTGAAAAATTTCTTGAGGTATTTGGGGGATCAACAAAAGTCATGGTAAAATGAAACCATAAACCAATAACATACAGTTGTGCTTGAACATTTGCGAACCCTCCCATTAAAGAAAATGATAAATTCACACTAGTAATTCAAATAACAGAAAACTAAAAAAGTAATAATAAATGAAAGTTTCTGTTTAAACAGAAACCCTGTTTAAAGAGGGAGCTTTTAAATGCTTTTTAAGAGTTTGAAGACTTAACCAAACGCAGCAATCGAAGAAGATTGCTAGAAAACTGAGCCTCATTTAGAAATCACAAAACAGCCGTGTTGTTTGTAAGCAGAATATATAAGTAAAAAAAATGGATATAAAATTATTTTAATCTATCTGAAGCAAATGAAAAGACTATCAGGTTCCATGCAGCCATTTTTTAATCAACTATTGTCTCTTTTTAAGATTCTCCATCCGGCATCCAAAACAATAGAGCGGAAATAAAACAATAACAGGTTAATATTTTTGTCATGTTAAAAAGTTTTTTATTCTGAGGAAAAAAAGTCAGAATTC